TGAAAACACCTTATGTACTGTGCTTATCCTTCTGGGGAGCTTCCAACAGGGATCCCCAATTTCTGGACATTGTCTATCTCATGGTGGCTTGGTATAGTTTCTTGAGCTTCCACCTCGTCAAGTTGTCCCTTGCTGTCGGTCAACTGACTTTGGGGAAATACTTTGAGGACAACAGGTAGCTACCAAAAATTATCCTGCATGTCACTATTACTGTAACGGCCATAGCCACCCTCCCAGGCTTGTAAAGGTTGCACCTCCCTCAACCCTCCTCATGGCCTGTGTTTCGCGTTTGGGGTCCTACCAAAGTCCAGACCATCCCCATTAAATTCATCCCGAGAGGCCCCAAAGGACCATTGGAGCCTTGTTGAGGACGCCTACTCGTAATCTCCTGGGGGGGCCTATGGATAGTGGTGGGCAGGGATCCTTTAAAGTCACAGGAAGTGCCACGTTACCAAAGATGTTGGCCTTAATCTTTTTGAATTGGCGTGTTGGAAAAAGAGCATCCATGCCCAAACCACAGCACAATCCATATTCAAGCGTGCCCGACTTTTCAATCATCACATGCACAAACTATGTTGACGGCCATCCCCCAAAATACCCCATCACCCAAGCCTGAAAACCCAAAATGCGTACCCCAAAACCCTAAACCCTCACAACATCATGCCAGCAGCTCATGCAGCAGTCTGTTTATTGGAGCCTTGATGTTTCAGAGTTGTTGTCGGCAACTTGTACTACACTTACTGACTACAGACCTCGCTGCGGGACAACACAAAAACATTCACCAGAAGTCTGAAAACAACATGATGCCAGCACCGCGGTCGTTTAAGTGGCCACTAATCATCTGGGAGCCTTCGGAGCACGTGTATTGAAAGCATGCCTGAAAATGCGGAATCTGCCCTGGAACCCTCCCTAACAAACTAGTCTTAACGGTTTACGGGGCGGGGGGGGGGGGTGTTTATTGTTGTTACTCTTTCTACTATTGCCCAGTCACTAATATTATTGCTTTTGCTCTTCTGATTCTGACTACTTAAATTACTTTTAGTTTCCCTAGCTACTGCTACTACTACCACTATTGTTGTCGGCCTAAGCATTGGCTGCGGCTGTACATCCCGGCCTGTCCATGGGCCATTGCTCGGCAACTCCTACGGTCAGCTACGATCCTAGGCCTGAACCCGGGGACCCAAAGGAGCTACAGCGGGGCCGTAGGCTTTGGTAAACATTCTGTTGAGAATTTTGCCCCTAAACCCTGGTTCCTAGACCTCAAATGTACGAACATGAAATAGCAAGCTCAAGTTACAGGCAAACTGAAGCGCACGAGGCCGAGATGCAAGCTCGAGGGTGATTCAAAGGTAGTGCTCTGAGTAGGTGCTTGGTGGAGGCTTTTCCGGGCCTCCCGAAATCTACATGACATCGAGCACCTCGCAATACACCCTATAAGCTTATTCTGAAAAAAGTCTGGAGAACTTGAATATGATAAACCGCTCCAACTGCTGTGAGCATCATGGTACTATGGTACTACCCCACTTCCCACCTTTCAGCCATAAAGGACGGCAGGCAGGTTCATGTCCTCATGCTGCCGACACACACGTAGAAATGTGCTTCCACAAATGCTTGGAGCAAGCTTCAGGCAGGTCTTGCGACTGTGAGGTTGAAGTTTGCAACAGCAAAGCTCTCAAGCCGAAGGACTGAACTGCTAGAATATTGGGGTTCTATTGGGATAATGGAAAAGAAAATGGAAACCACAGGGATTGAAATAGGGTTTATATGGGGATTATAGGGTATATATTGGGGTTATGTTGGGACAATGAAAAAGAAAATGGAAACTACTATATTACAATAGGGTATAGATGGGGTTATTTAGGGGTTATATAGGGATAAGGCAAGCCGGGGCCTAAATACGTAGAGCATGCGTTGGAGACCCAAGTCCCCGGGCTTCTGGGGGTGCTGGGTTGAAGCGTCAGGCTTTGAGGTTTACACCGAAAATCATACGCTCTGGATCAAAATACCCTTATTGACCACCCCAAACCCTAAACCCGAAACCCCTACAAGCCTAAGTCCTTTGTGTTCAGGTACACAGGCAGGGCGTTCCGCAAGTCTTAAACCAAAAGGCATGGTAGAAGTCGAGCCTGCAGGGCCACATCCTTGAAGGCAAAGGTTGGGCCATGGAAAAGCTCCATGATGTAGAGGTCGTTCACCTGCGCGTGAAATAGTTCAGGGTTTAAAACACAACAAGATTAGCAATAATCATAGTAATAATGCTATAGTAGTATCGTACTGATTAGGGAATCGGATGCCAGAGGCGGATGGTTCAGCGCTGTGGAGAGCGGTTCTTACATGATGCAAGAACTGTATCAAAACCGGTTCTCGCTGACGGCTGCCGATCTGCCATCACTATCATCGTAACTACTTACAGGAGTTAAGGGTCAATGCAAGGCTTGAATTATATAGGAAAGGACAAGGCCCTTGTTTTCGCGGATTTCTCTTACTTTGGATAGGTTTGATACTCCCCAAAACCCCACAGCTTGCTGGCTTGCTGTTAAGGAATTTAAATTAAGTTACCATATTGGGGAAACCCTATTATTTACTATATATACCCATTATGGTAACTTAATTTGAGTTCCTTAACAGCAACCCAGCAAAACCCCACAGCTTGGTCCTACCCTTCTAGCAAACAAACTCCCTGCCCTGCAAACCCAAACCTCTGGAGGGCTTGATGCTGGTTTAGGGTTTAGGGTTATAGGGTTTAGGGTTTATGGTTTAGGTTTATAGGGTTATAGGGTTTAGGGTTATAGGGTTTAGGGTTTAGGGTACCAAAGAAAATCGTCTATGAGAAGTACCCATACAACACAAATCAGCACAAGTTGTTTCCTATCAGCATACGAGATCCACGATTTGACCAAACTATCTGCTCAAGTTGCATCCCTTTATCATGGGTTGCTTCCCTTGGGTTTAGAGTTTAGGGTGTAGGGCCCTACTACCCCCTAGGTTCCCCCCTTAACTAACTTTAGTTCACCTTCAAACGACTTTAGAACTCAGAGGCAACCTAGCGCTAGTAAGCTAATGAGGCAAACATCGCAGCATCGTATCCCACTAGATTCTTTTCATAATCTGGAAGTTGCAAAAACAGCCGCTGTTTGTAGGTTTTGGGGAAAGGGATGGCACAACTCTGGATGTACCTTCCCAAGACTATCATGGAAGTCAAAAACGGCTCTGCAAAGATTAGGGTATGTTTAGAAGGGGACAATGCCGGATTCCCTGGTGGCTGGGGGATGGGTAATAATTAGTCTGATCCTCTGATTCTGCCTGACCATCGTAACAAACCTGAACCATAAGCAACCACTAAAAAAACACAGCCCCCCAAATTCAAGAAGGAGTTATGGCTTGCATAATACCCTGAACCCTTAACCCCAGGTCCATCGATCCATCCCACGCCTAGGTTCGACGTTCGGCGAGCCCACGCCCCATCCCCAAACAGCACTTGACTTAGGCCATGGTGCAAGGCTTCGCCTTTACGGGCGTGTAGGAAGTAAGTTTCGCGCAGGACCTAGGCCCCAAAAACCTAAAGCCTAAACCCGAATCTCTAAACCCTAATCTATACACCCTAATCTCTACATCTACACCCTAATCCCTAAACCCTTATCCCTAAACCCTAACCCCTAGACCTAAATCCGAAGTCCACCTTGAGACATCTTATGGTTTCGCGCTGGGACCCTGGGCCTTGAGGGTAGGGACCACCTCGCTGTGGTCGAAAGTCTGCCAGGGAAGGCCGCTCGGGGCTAGCGCTTGGGGTTGATGGCTTAGAGCTTAGGGTTTAGGTAGGGCGTAGAGCTTAGGGTTTAGGGCTTAATTCAGGTTTAGGGTATATAGGGCTTAGGGGTTTAGGGCTTCATTGGGGTTTAGGGTATATCGGGCTTAGGGTTTTTCAGTTTTCAGTTCAGGGCTTGAAGGTTCAGAGACCGTCAATATAAGGGCTTCGAAAGGGGGACCCCAATAAACGGACATCGGAGCCCGGCTTGTAGTTTAATGTAGCCCCCATGAAGTCCCTACTTAGAAGCCCATGTCCATGAACTAGCCAGGAAACATTGCGTGTAGCTCATATGAAGAAGGAACCCTGATGCTTTGGGACCATCCTCCGTATGGAGTTAAAGCTTTGGAGGCACAAATGTTTTAGGGTTTAGGGTTTAGGGGTTTAAACTTTAAACCCTAAACCCTAAACCCTAAACCCTAAACCAAGTTTAGGGGGTCTCCTTTGGGACTCCTGAAGCGCCCTCGTCCGTAAACCGTGAGCCACTGGCCATCGTTGGCTATCGTCTTCAGTGTGTACCCTTGCTAGGTTTCAATAAGATAGAGGGAGCACTTTGTCTGTAACACCCATTAGGGAATCACCAAACGTCATGGGTTTTAGGATATCCCAGCAAGGAATTGACGGTAGCGCAAACCATGAGGATCCCTCAGTGCTGCAAGGTGCACCAGGGGCCGGATGGGATCCCTGGCCCCCCACTTCGTATATTTCTCCAAACAACAGTCCCCCTACTGGTGCTTAAGGCGGCGCAGTCACGGTGTGCGCGTGATTTCCCAGCCAGCGGAGGAGCGACGAATGAACAGAGAATGCGGTGAGACTCTTGAAACGAAATGAATCTTGCAAGCAAGCACGTCTTAGCATACCCAAAGCACATACCTTTTTTGAGAAACATCTCAGGGTATGAGCCTGAGGCATATAGAAACTGGGCAAAGAACCCCAGCATCCGCCCAGCACGGTATAGAGTCGTCAGCTCGTTTCCGTTGCTTGGCTATCCAAGGCTCTTTGTGCAGAAAAATGCCAGAAGTCTGGCTGTCATGTGAGTTGCCGTCATGGTCTTGCACGGGTAATGGGCATGGGACACTATTTGCGAATCAATTGGTTGGGGCCGGATCATTTCTTGTAAGGATCCGATGTCACTTAGTGTCAGCCGCCGTGATGGTGACAACAGCTCACATGTGCTTATTCATGCATGAACCAGCTACTCAGCATTGCAATCCGAATGGCCAAAGCACAGGGGCTGTTGGGTGCCATCCATTTCCGCCTTACTTCACAAGTTGATTGGTCAGCGAAAGACATGAACCCTTCCCCTTGCAAAACTGCATGCTCTGAGAGTAGAAGATCAGCACCTGACCCACAGTGGGTTCGTTGTTGGGCACAGGGAAAATTGAAGAACAACAGAAAGATGAAATCGCTTACTGGGTTAGCTATGAGTTACGGCTGCATAGCCGGCGCGGCGCTGGACGCATCGACATGACAGCTCGCTCTGCTGAAAGCCCGTGCGTTTTGAGAATAACCAAGTCACTTGTATCACCAAGAGTGTCATGATCGAAAGAAAAATCAGGAGCTGGGTCCGCGAGTAGTTTTGAACCAAAGTCACTAGAGAGGCCCAGATGAGGCTGCCACACAGATAGTTGTAAATAAACGCTATAGGACAGCAAAGAAAGCTGGCAAAGAAGGCAAGTGGACCATCTCCACAAGATGACGTGAACCTGAGCATCCGGAGGAGGATCGGATAAGTAAGGGGGAAGGCCAGCACCAGGGTGAGTGCCCATCCGACTGCTTGCGTGATCATATATGTACTCCTGGGTTGTGGTCTTTGGTGTGCGGAAAACATGTCTGAAAACAACAGTTACTCAACTCAGCCATGTGAAGCACAATGAAAACATTATAAGGTGACGATGCTGCTGGGCGCCAGGTAAACAGAGTTGAAGGTCGCTGTTTGGAATAAAAAGGAATCAAGTTAACTGGAGAAACTCCTGCATCTCGGCCCAGACTCACCAATTCGTATCCTGCTAACGGTGCCGAGATCTCACAGGGGCCGTTATCACAGCCCAGGACATTCACTGAGGAATAGAAAATCATGGGGAGGAACGCAAGCAAGCACCGGCTGAACGAAACATAGACCTCATCTCCAGTCTCTGCAATCACAAAATCCCGAAGAGTCCCTCTGATGTAGGCGTTGAAGCTGTCCTGGGTAGCCCAATACCCAATTGTAATAGGGGAGCCCTTTCTCCTAATTATAGATGACTGGCATACAGGAAACCAGAACCCAAAACAGAACCCAAAACCCTAAACCCAAAAGGGTAAACGGGTACCACTTGGCTTCCTGGTGTCTAAAGGGTTCAGATAAGCCAGTGCGACGTTGGGAAATCTCTGCAACCGAACCTGCCACGGGAGAGGGCTTGGGTTTACCCAGACCCTCCTATGTGGTTCCTGACTATATTCTAATTCCTCACCAACGAAAATCATAACAAACCCAAGAAGGCACTACATGGGAAATCTTGGGTAAGGCAGCAGCTCGCAAATCTACACACTCTTCTCACCAAATGAGCTATAGTCTCAACTCCCAGTATCCCCCTTAATAATCCATCTAAGAGTCCCCTTTCTAGTCCCATATATAATCCCCCTCTAAGGAGTTTAGACTATGCCTCAAATCAAATCACGTCTTCCCGGCACTTCTACTCTGGGCCCGAAAAGCATTCCGTTTTCAACTGCTTGCTCCCGTGGGGGATTTTGGGAAATTGGGAGCCTGTCTTGTTGAGAAGTCCCATAATGCAACTTGCTGTACATTGGGTTTTCTATTGGGGCCCCTCATTCATGGAAGCTGCTATGCAACGTGGCGTCTGAAGTTCCACGTTGGTGGGGCGGGGGTTTAGGGGCTTGGGGTTTATGAGGTCCTCTCGGCTCGAAAAGTTCATCCGTTTCATCCGTTGAAATGGGAGTTCCTCTAAAGAACCCCTTCATACTTCTCATAGATTTCAGGGGTTCCTGAGACTTACCCCCCGTCTTTGGAGAAACTCTCGAAGCCTAGAAATCCAGCGGATTGGAATTGTTGGCCTCTGCTAACCGTCAAGCGCGAGAGGTTTCGTGTTTAGAGTTCAAACCATCAAGCCTAAATCCTAAACCTGTGGAGATACCTTTGGAGACAGCTGCTGCAGAGGTGATCTGACTTTCTGGTTGGAAGCAGGGAACAAAGGAATTGAAGCCCATATTGAGCTATAGTCCAAACTCCTAGTGTCCCCCGTAATAACCCCTATAGTAGTCCCCTATAAGATCCCCTTCAAGGAGTTTAGACTATAGCTCATATGTATGGGGAGGGCTACAACAGGGCTACCTTAGGTATCCATTGATCCCTATAGACAACCATCAGATCTATGGTCAGGGGCTTAAGACGTTAAAGCATCTTGGCAGGGGAAGGTCGTAATGCTGACTTGACACTAATTTGGGGGGGTTCCCCAAAATTATAATTATGATAATAGGATTTTGGTAACCCCAACCCCAAAATTAGGACCCTATAACCAGCATATGATAGTCATAGGGTCCTAATTTTGGGGGTTGGGGTTACCAAAATCCCTTTATTAAATTAGGGGTACCTTCTTGGGGTCCCTATATCAAGGATTGTAGTATTTAGGGGTCTATGTGAGGGCCCCCCTATTTGGGGAACCACCATACCGAACGCCATCCTGACAAGAAGCCTAATGCTCATGTAAGTCCTCATGCTGTCACGAATACTAGCACTAAGATTTGGAAGCCGAGCTTTAAAGCGTTTTCGCTCAAGTTTTGCTCTACATGCTTGGGACAACTACCCCAAAATACACCCTATTGTGATAAGTAGTTTCCAATGTCTTTACCAAGATCCCTATATTCAACTAAATGCCTGGGACTATATACATCCATTCTCTAATGTTCCCCCTTCATTTTAGATTAATGATAGGCGTACCCTTGTTTCCAATTTTAGCTGAGTAAGGAGACCCCAAAATAATGAGGGACAAATGGCACTACTGGGGTACCTAGATAGGTAAAGGCGGATGCCACAATACCAGCAACCTCGCCATCATCAACGGCAATGGTTCTGGGCTCCGACCCTGCATCGGTATGTTGCACTCGCTCCATGAATAGCTCCATGACCTGCATGTTAATTTCAGGATGGTAAAAGGTTGCATTTAGTTTTAGGATGGTCTGGGGCGATGGACCCTAAACCCTAAACCCTAAATGTATACTCCTATTTGCTCCATGGCCTGCTCCTCAACTGCTTCACGGTCAGACGGCTCAGTGCACTCCGCAGCTCTTAGATCGAACTCAGCCATGCGATCCAGCATGCGTTGGTGGTGCTGGAGCTTCATACGGAAGGAGAAGAGACAGGGTAGTGACGAGGGCAAGTAAGCAACACCTGTCATGAACCACATGATGAACCACACCACGAAGTTCAGCAGGGCAGGATTTGGTCCAAGAAGTGACTCTGTGACTTCAGTGACTGGGTTCACCAATGCCACAGTCCAACCGGGAAACACACGCTCCAAAATCTCGAATATGGTGGCACTTACCAGGTCCAGGAAGATGGAGCATAGAAGCCATGGAGCCAGCCACGAGGGTAGCACTGTGACCTTTGCCGTGCCACCGTATCGTGCAAAGGTTGCCAGCTCTAGGTTACACCAAAGGCGATCAAAATATGTCTCGTCCCAAACCACCAACATGTTGGCAGAGTTTGCAACAAACACAGGTAGGGCAGCTATCTGGTCCATCTTCATGTCAAGGTCTGTCTGATGCACACAAAGCTTGTCTAACCATAGGGAAGGAGACCCACGTCCACCGAAGAGACGCTGGCCAAAGATAAAGACCACCAAGAACACCGTAATCGGCATGTAACAAAGGCACGGAAGCGCCATGGAGCTACCACCCAAGCTTGTAAGGCCCCCCCACCCAAGCAGAAGGATTACCGACATAAGCCAGGCCCCACAGGAGCACTTAATAGCCAAATCCAAGTTGAAGTGCCTAAGTAATGGTCTTCTTACTGGCGGCCAGTAGGGAATACAGGAATATAATCCGTATATAACCCCTATACACTATCTTCTCTTGTTCCCGACTAACCCGCGGTAAGCTTTTCGAGACGAAGGTTCAGGTTTCTGATTTAGGGCTTGGGTGGGCGTGTTTAGGGTTTAGTGGCCCCCAGCAAAGCATTTGTGGGGGATAACGTAGAGGCTGAAGAATCCACATAAGGTTCTTGGCGCGTGTCAGACTAAGTACAGCTTGAAAAGGATTAATTAGAAGGCGAAGCGAGGCTTTTTTTTTCCGAAGTACTGAGACTATTATAGTCCCCCTTAAGTAGATAGAAAATGGCTTTGGGTACATTACAATAAGATCCCCATATACCCCAGATTGTATCTACTTAAGGGGGGCTATAACCCTAAATCCGGACCTTAAACCCCAAATCCCTAGACCCCACCCTACACCAGTTGTCTATGACTGACTTCAAGGTGAAATCGCAGAGTTCACCGACACTGCCAAGTGACAAGCAAAGCGCAAGAAATTTCGCCCAGCGCCCTGCATGCCACGAGTGGCTGATGAAGACGTCCACAGACTGCGCTTTTGCGGAGGCTTTGAACAGAGTGTCCTTTGGTTAGCTAGGAATGAAGGAATGGATCCTTATAGTAGTCCCTGTATAACGCATTATGGTCGTTTCCATTTTCTTTTCCATTCCTTCTAAACCCTAAACCCTATAGTAGTTTCCATTTTCTTTTCCATTCCTTCATTCCCAGCTAAACAAAAGTCAGCAAAGTGTCCCCTGCAAGCTGCACCTGCTCCAGGGTCGGATAAACTGTCTCGTGATTTCCGCTCGCCGCCAACAAAGCCAACAGACTGGAATCAAAGATGATTCCGTAGCCTTCTCAGGGGTTTAGGGTTTAGGATTTATTTGGTTTAGGGCCCCTGTATAGTATACTCCCTTATTCCCAACTACCCCCTGCCAGTAAATCAACCGATGATGCGCGTTTGTACCTTTAGCGGGATTCCAGGATGGATATCTCGGAACAACCGCTTTGATCCCCTCCCCCTAATGCTAAACCCCCATCCCCCGAATATTACACTTTCTCAATATGATGTAGTATAGCACAGTGGGAATATCTGATATTGGGGGTTGGGAGGATTCATATTTGGTGGGAGAGGATTACTACTGAAAAGACAGCCGATCAACTCTTGAAAGCTTTGCCATCCCTAAACCCTAAACCCTAAATCCTAAACCCTAAACCCTAAACCCTAAATCCTAAACCCTAAACCCTAAACCCTAAATCCTAAACCCTAAACCCATGATGACCAAGAAGCTTTGTAGCACCTGCTGAGGCGTCGCGCTGCGGAAATGACCATCTTCCTTACTTCTGCTTGAAGCAGTGAAATACTGACTTCTGCAGTTTAGGTTAAAATTTCCGTACACGGATGCTCTAAATTCCTAGCATCCCCCTTAATAAGCTCTAGAATACTCCCCTATGTAATCCCCTATATAACCCCCTTTCAGGAGTTTAGACTATAGCTTATATGCAACAGGGGTGACACCAATTAGGTGCTCAGGTTATCCGAGTCCGTATAGCAAGGACTTCAACAGACTATGGTAGGGGAAGCCCACACCAAATCCTAAATCGAAATCGGGGCTGCGCCTCCTTTGTCTGGAAGTGCCCCAAACCCCGAACCCTATACCCTAAACCTTTAACCCCAAAACGTGAACCTTAAACCCTTAAACCCTATCTTAACCCTATAAACCTCAAACCCCTAAACCTTAAACCCAAAACCCTATAGATCCCTAACCATAAGCCCTAAACCTTAGGTCATACCGAAACCTTAAACCCAACAACAACTTCAAAGCTTCCACCTCCGAGAAGGAACCTGCGCCCCGCAGTCGACCGCCATTGCGAAACGAACTCTCCCCAAATGACATGCTTAGCGGTGGTTTAGGGTTTAGGTTTTGGGGTTTAGGGATTTAGGTCTTAGGGTATAGGGGGTTTTACGGTTTGGGGTTTTAGAGTTTAGGATTTTAGGGTTTTAGGGTTTAGAGTTTAGGGTTTTATGGCTTAGCGTAGGCTAGTCAGGAATGAGGCAATTGGATGCAGGGACTTTGACAGGATATAGTTGTTTTCGGTAGAATGTAGGGGCTTTAAAGGACATAGTGGTTGCTATGAAGGACTGGCTAGGAGGTTACTTAGGGATCCAAACCTCGGTTCCATACAAACCACAGCTAGGCATGGGTGTTTCTCAGCGTAGCAGTAAAACCCCTAGAACCCCCCTGTAGTCCTCCTATAACCCTAGGGCAGGGAACCCTAGACCACAACCACTACAGGGTCAGGCTTTTGGTGTTACTGGGGAGGAAATATTATAATCCCAATATAACCCCTATATATACCCGGAGGGGAGTCCAAGGTCAAACTCTTGGACTTTGACCGGCAGCAAGGCTGTGAAAGATAAGGCAATTCAGACACAAGCTCAAGTATCTATTTAGGATTTAGGGTTTGGGGTTCAGGGTTTGGGGTTTAGGGCTTAGGGTTTAGGACACAAGTTCAAGTGAGCTATAGTCTAAACTCCTAGTTTCCCGCGTTATAGCCCCTATAATGCTCCCCTATATAATCCACCTTTAAAGAGTTTAGATTATGGCTCAAGTACCAAGTAAGGATGGGTCGAGGTTGTAGCGTGTAGGGTTTAGGGCTGAGGCTTTGGTGGCATGCTACTTCTGGAACTACTCCGATTCACGTCATTCAGAACTATGCAGCAAGACCTGAGTTCCTCAGATAGGAGCGGAGTTTAGTCCCCAGGAGCTTCAAGATGCTGAACGTAAGGGCCTGAATAATGACCAACATCATGGTGAGGTCTATCCGAGGTTCCCCCTACAATAGCTATGCACAGAATCTATCGTAGGACCACAGTGCTTGTCAGTATCCCTTTAACTCTCTACGTAAATCTATTTTCCATTTCATTGTCTATGGTCTTTTCCAGCTGATTCTATGTAATTGGCGGAATATATACAAACCCCAAACCATAAACCCTAACATATATACATACATATGTATATATCACCAGACCTTGTCTTTAAATCTATGCCCGGAGCCCCGTTATTGATGAGTACTCAAGCGTTTACATCATACCTCAGAAGTGCTGGCTGCATGGGCAGTCTGGAAGGTTAGGGTTTTACTACCTGGTGTTCAGAAACGGAATGAAAGAAAGGAAGCCTCTTGCAGTTTAGGATTTAAAGTGTTCAGGTGTGGGGTTTCAGGGTTTCCGGACATGAAACTGGTGCACCTGTTGAGTTTAGAGTTTAGGGCCCTAAACTCCCTAAATCCTAAAACAGTCCATGCTTCAGGTAGCAAAGCTTTTGACATGCCGTCCGGGATGCCGTTATAGGCCTCTAGGAATCATTCATAGGATTTGTAAGGGTTCAAAGGTCTATGGGGTCTATAGAGTTCATAGGAATGAAAATGCCACCTAGTCGTGCTCTAAAAAATGGGGTCCCTGAAATCTGGTTTAGGGTTTAGGGTTTAAGGTTTAGGGTTTAGGGTTTAAGGTTTAGGGTTTAAGGTTTAGGGTTTGGGGTTTGGGGTTTAGGGTTTAGAGTTTAAGGTTTCCTGGAACCTGATTTGGCCCCACTCTAGTGAAAAGACCTCAGAAGCTTCTGGAACTGTTGTCAGTGTGTATTTAGAACCAACATTTGGGGGTTTCCCAAAATTAGGCGTGCCATTTTGGGGGGTCCCCTTATTAAGGATGATAGTATATTGGGATCTATGTTGGGGTCTCCTTCTTTTGTGAAACTACCGTATATTCATGATAGAGATTACGCCACCAAAAGTGCTGGTCTACGTTTTTAATGCCTTTTGTCGAAATAGGTGAAGCGAAATCTGAATCCTAACCCTGAACAACCTGCTGACGCTAAAGCTGTGAAATCTGAAGTCTACATCCCCAAGCCCTACACCCTGAATCCCTCCTAACCCTAAACCCCTGCATGCAAACCTGAATCCGTAACCCTAAACCCTTGGACCTTAACCTGAAACCTAGACCTCATTTTTTGGGTTTAGGGGTTTCCTTGGATTTCAGTTAAGGGGTTTAGGGTTTTCTTACAACCCGCCTTGTAGCTGCGCTGCATCAGCTTCCTAAGGTCGTCGGGAGGGATCTCGTCGCTCCCGCAGTAGAGGCTTGCAATCTGGGCCAGAGACAGCAGTCTAGCGATTCAGGGTTTCGGGGATTTAGGGGTCTGTGGTAGCTTCAGGGGGACACTGAAAAAGCGACCCCTTATCTTGGGAAGCCCAAGCATGTTGGGATTCAGGGTTCTGGGCTCAATCCCGGAAGAGCTATAGTCTTAACTCCTAGAATCCCCCTTAATATCCCCTATAATACTCCCTATATAACCCCCCGTGCTTCTTGCTCTCGGCTTTGGAGCGTACAAGGAATGTATTGCAGGGCCCACAGGGTCGGTGTAGGTATTGTCTATGCCTGGGCTCCCAAGTAGGTAGGCAGGGCCCCTAGTAGATGCCTGCATGGTGGAGAACTGTTTCTTTTTGGGTGCTTTTGCGTACTTTTGAAGCTTTAGCTCGACTTTTAGGCTTTCTTCTTGACACGGCATTGCAACATGTTCGTGGAGTCCGTCTGCTCTTCGCTCTGCCCTACCCTAAACCCTAAACCCTAACCCCTAAACCCAACCAGACCATTTTAGTGCCCTTCGCCTGCATTCCGTGCCGATTCGCCTTGAACTACGTGGTTGAAGCCTGGGTCGTTGCACTCCTCACTAGTCAAAGGCCCCAGTCGTCCAAGGTGCGGCGGATTACTCCAAGGTGCGCCTATTGGTTCAAGGATTTGAGGAGTGCTTGTTTGTTCATACTTGCCCTACTTAAGGTGTGGCCTATGAGGTTGAAGGGAT